CAATGTCCCTTCTCCCTCCCTTTCCTCCTGTCCCTTAAAGAACATCTGTTTTTCATCACAGACCCAAATTGTCATATGCACAGCTCAGAAAAAGAAACAGTCAAATCAAAATGCACGCTGAGCCCTTAGCAACCTGAAGCAGTTGAGAACTGCATTTCTAGACTAGTTGTAACTGCCTTTTAAACAAAAAGGCAATTTAAAACAAAAAGACTCTTTGAGGAGTCAAATAGACTGCTGAAATAACACTCCAAATGTTGCTACCTCTACCTCTTCTCTTTTTCACAATAAGGGCTTTAAATTATATAGTTCCAACACCTCCCTTATTTTATGCTTTTTTTTCTTTTTTGATTTCCTAAAGCTAAAACCAGTTTTGATCATATCTATCTGGCTTACCTCATTTTAACTGTCTGATTGGAATTATCTTCCGTATGGCTTTACTCGGGCTATATATCACTTTGCCTCTGGGAATCTGCCATCTAGTATCTTCACCTTCTTTCTTCCTCATTTTTTTAAATTACCTTATGAAACGGATTTAGGAATGATATTTTCTTATCATTTGAGAACTGAAGTTGGCTTTATCACACCTCTCACTGAGTTTGCACACAAATGACATCTTTGCAGGCAACAATGAATGTAAACACACTTCTTAAGCACTCAGATCTCTTGCATACCAAAGCAAACAGAACATTGTGTGTTTGTTTTCTAAGTGAATGAAACATCTATAAAAACAACAGCAAATATATGGAGCAGATTTATGCAATTATTCCTTGAATGTCAGACAATATGTAGTCTATAGAATTTAAGTCAGATTAGCAATAATATCAAAACATTTATAGTTGTGTTCCCCTAGGACTTCGTTCAGAACTTACAGAAGTCAAAGGAAAGAAATTCATTGACATCAATGAACTTTGAATTAGGTTCAGACTGTTTACTTGTTTTGTCTGCTTTGGTACCCAAGAAAGTAGTTTTCCTTATTCAAAGCAGTAAAATTCTTCCTCCAGAGGCTCTAATTCTGCATACTGTCAGCATAAAGACCAAGCAGTTGACATTATTTCTGAAACCCTCATATTATACTAATTTCTCATGCAACTCAAAGTGGACTGCATGAACAGAAGGATTTGGACTGTAGACAACCAGTTTGTTTGCATAGCCAATTTTTTTTTTCAAATGACCAATGTGTTGCATGATGGCTTTCCTGCCAAAGTTCTGTTTTACATGTAAGTGCCCCAGATCATCATAAGTAGCAAATTCAAACTTTGGTAACACAAGTAGCTTGCCTTTTAGAAATGCTAATACCCACCTTCTGAAAATCACAGTACTTGCAAAATGCCTTACAATTTAGTCACAAAAAAAAACCCGAAACAAACCAACCAAACCACAAAGCAATAAAATCGAAGACTGAAAAGTTACTATATATTTCTTCAAGAGACAGAATGCCTGTCACAAATATTATTTGCCATTTGTTATTTTCCTGTTTCCAGAAATTATAAGTAAAGATCCTCCAGCTGAATATGAAGAAGGACATGTACATGTATTGCCATTGGAAATTGAAATAACCTGTATAGAGTCTTGGAGGCATAACTCATACTTTATGGAGCATATCATTGTATTTGGTTGTTTACAAGACACAGAATGGCATGACAAATGAGGTGTGACACAGCAAGTCAACTTTAAAATAAAACAAAACTCTTCTGTTTCTGAATCTGCTACTTTGAATTATGTCTAAACAAAACATATCCATAGGAACGGAATAATAAAATATTCAATGCATTTGAAATGTCAAGGGTTGTGGCAGTTCAGCAAATTAAAGTGAGATGGAGGGAAGTTTGGCTTTCCAGCTGCAGAACAGATTTTAGCTAGTTCCTCATGCTTAATTACAGTTTAGAATAGCCTTCAAGAAGTTGAAAAGAATAACAACTGCTTACAAAAACAGATTTCAGGTTACTGTGTTCACTGATTCCTCAATACTGAAAGCTAGGAATTATCCTTAAGCACATTCATTTTGTAGAATCAGTTTTATGCATCAAAATATGCTAACATTAGAGCTGAGAGAAACAGTTCTTAACTATTACAGTGGTATATTGAAGCAAAAATATCATAAAAAAACAACTAGGTTGTGGGTGTGTTAAATAATCTGGTAAACATTGCCTATTATGTTTATTTAAATTCTTAGAAAAAACATGACATAAGTGAATACAACTCTGTCCTGGGTTCGGCAGTGGCAGTCATGTTTTTCCTTTGTGTTGGCTGGTGCAGTGCTGTGTTTTGGCTTCCGGCTTGAGAGCGGTGTTGGTGAAGCCGATGTTTTCGGTTGTTGCTAAGTGATGTTTACCCTGACCAAGGACTCTGTGAGGCTCATGCTCTGCCAGGGAGGAGGGGAAGCTGTGAGGGAGCAGGGACGGGGCGCCTGACCCGGGCTAGCCGGGGAGGTATTCCATACCACAGCACGTCATGCCCGGGGTGGGGGGTAACTGGGAGTTACCCGGAAGGACAGGGGCCTCCGGGTGGAACTCGCTTTCTTGGCCAGTGGTATCGTATTCTCTTCCCTTGTTATTTTCCCTTATCATTGTTTTAGCTGATAGTAGCGGTGGTGATTTGTTGCTGGACTGTTCTTGTCTCAACCCGTAGGAGTTGCACTCTCTCGATCCTCCTCCCCGTTCCTCCGGGAGCGGGGAAGGGGAGAGCCCCGGTGCGGGGCGGGAGGGAGACGGACACGGACCTCGATTGTTGTCAGCTCGGCACCACTCACTGGGAGTGAGTGAACAAGTTACCTGACTGGGTTTAAACCACGACAGTTCTTTTTGGCGCCCAACGTGGGGCACGAGGGGTTGAGATAAGAACAGATCTGACTGGATTGATAGTCACTCGTCACAATGTTGATTTATTGGCTCTCAAGGTTGTTCCTCTTGATCTCACAGTTTCAGTATATCATATCTTACGTCCATCCGGTATTTGCTGTATTAGTGTTTTTCAAGTGTGGGGCTTGGGCTAAGGTTTTTGTCCCATTGTACTTTATGGTACTGACTTGTAATACAATAGAATCATTGATCATGAAACTGATCTGGCTTATGTTCCCAGTGTGGTCACCACCTTTATACTTTGGGAGGTATATGATGGAGGTGCTTAGCAATTACACATCTTTTTTCTCCTCCTCAGGTGCTCAACCTGTGAAGGAGACATCCTTTTACCCTCCCAGTCGTCCCCCCAGACCATTTACATTTGAGAGTTTTGAATTTTTTAAATGGCCTTTTAATGCTGATGAGACTTGTTTGCTGATGGTGATGGGAATCACCATGCTAACAAGCATACAGAGTGTGTTTTGCCCACTACTGATTTCAAGAGTTAAGCAGATTCAGGTTTGGGTCTTGTCTGGGGTCAAACGACGATATAGGAGGACCGAGAGATTTTCCCTGAGGCTGGACAGCCATGAGTGGCAGGGTGTGTGGGATAGTATGGGCAAGTATCTAGGTCAGTGGGCCCCTCCAGTACTTGGAATTTCACTACCGAACAACTGCAAAATCCAGAAGAATTAGTAAAACACTTAAATGAGGTGTGTGGTCATTCTGGCCATACCAGAGATGGACAAATCACGGCAACGTGCTGGGGCTTGGCCTATGCTTACAGGGCCTTGTTCAACACTATCCAGCACCTTCAAAAGGAAAAGAATGTCAGCGGATCTGAGGGCAAAGCGACAGTCGCTACTCAAACTTTGGCTGCAATGAACAGCACAGCTACCCCAGCGGCAAGTACAGCAGCTGCTCGAACTTCAACTGCAACAGACAGCGCGGTTACCCCAGCTCCAAGCACAGCAGCTGCACCACCCCCAGCAACAAGCACAGTCGCTACTCAAACTTTGGCTGCAATGAACTGCGCAGCTACCCCAGTGGCAAGTACAGCAGCTGCTCAAACTTCAACTGCAACAGACAGCGCGGTTACCCCAGCTCCAAGCACAGTAGCTACACCCCCCCCAGCAACAAGTACAGTCGCTACTCAAACCACAGTGATAATCACTGCAGTACACAGTATTTACTCAGTTCTCTGTCCAGAAGTCTTTCTCTTGTCCCAGTCCCTTTGGCTGTCAGTGAAATCAGAGATTTTACCCAAACCTTTGCTTTGAAGTTTTTTAAAGCTAGCTGTTTTATACTGAGCAATGCCAGACACAAGACCTCAATGTTGACTTTTACCAGGATACTAATCTTGCGTATCAAGAAGGTGAGATTTTCACCTGCCAGTCCCAAAAATGCTATGTATAATGCAAGTTGTCTACATTTCACAGGGATTACAGGGATTTTCAACAGTATTGAACTCTATGTGAAGCCCAGTCAAAGGTGGGGAAAGGAGGGGACATGCCTATAAATGCATGTTAAAATTTCACCAGTTGGAAAGATAAGGTTTTTTTCCCAATACAACTCTGGAGTACTGATCACCTCTCATTTGAGAGGAATTAAGATCTATATGTTAGCATGCCCTGTGTAAAACAGCATCCTCTTGTTTGGAGAAAAAGAGTGTGGGATTTTGTAGTAAGAAAGGGCCAGCCAGTCCTAAACCCAAGATATGTGTCTCTTCATGTAGAAGAAGAGGCTGACTAAAAACCTCGTATGGAACTAGGTGCCTTTCTCTAGCTCACATGTAGGAGAGGGGTTGAACTTTTAGAAGACACTAAGTTCTGATCATCTCTACAACATCTCCTCCTGGCCAGTTGGGGCAGTTCAATGTGCCCCTGCTCCTCTCTAACTTGGGTGCCTGACCCAGAGCTGCAGATTGACCTAGATATCAAGGCACCCAAAAATAGATACTGCTGCACAGTTTTTACACCACTCTAGTCATGTGATGCTTAGTTTGAAGAAATCTGAGTGAGGTAACAGTTCTCTTCCCTTTCTTTCTTTAAAGGTGAAACAGGTTCACCTGGCATTGATGGTTTCAAAGGAATGACAGGCCTAAAAGGAAGACCAGGCATCAAGGGAATCAAAGGAGAATTTGGCTCACTGGGGGCTCAGGGTGATAAAGGCTTTTAAAGGTGACCGTGGAGATCAAGGACCCCCAGGAGAACCCCCAAAGCTCAAGCCCAGCATGATGATGGAAGTTAAGGTGAAAAAGGAGATGTTGGAGAAAGGGGCACGAAGGGATTCTTTGGCTTAAAAGGTAGCAAGAGAATGCCAGGTGTTCCCGGAAAGACAGGAACTCCAGGGTCCCCTGGGCATCCCAGCTATGTGGCTGGTGTGAAAGGAGACATTGGCGCAAAAGGGCTGACAGGTCTGAAAGGGTATCCAGGTCCAGCCGGCTCTCCTGGCATCAGAGGCTTCCCTGGCACTACAGGAATCAGGGGAGAAAAGGGCATGCCAGGAATTTCAGGCCATTTTGGTACTCCTGGCTCACATGGTGAAATAGGTGAGCAGGGAGATACTATAAACTTACCAGGAATGCCAGGCCTTAAAGGGGAAGTTGGTGTGCCAGGCTTAACAGGCACAAGAGGAAGCGCAGGACAAAAAGGTGAAGGTGGCGATCCTGGTTTCCCTGGCATTGAAGGCCTTAAGGGCACTCAGGGTTTCCCTGGTACTGTGGGACAGGAAGGTTTGCCAGGACTGGTTGGTCCCCCAGGACAGCAAGGAAGCCCTGGGATGACTGGATTTCAAGGTGAAAAGGGAACTCCCGGCTGGCCTAGTTTACCAGGACAAGCAGGCTTGCCTGGCTTAAGAGGAATCAGTGGACTGCATGGTTTACCAGGCACTAAGGGCTTACCAGGATCACCAGGTCCAGATGGTTACGGCTCTGTAGGTTTCCCAGGTGCAGTGGGTGACAAAGGAGAAGCAGGAGAGCCAAGCAGGGTGGAAGGCAGCCAAGGACCTCTGGGTCAGAAGGGAGACAGAGGTGTTCCAGGAGTCCAAGGACCCTTTGGCCTTCCTGGGCAGGAAGGACCTCCAGGTCCTCCTGGGATTTCAAATATATCAGGACATCCTGGTGATAAAGGCTCCCCAGGTTTAGATGGAGTGCCAGGCTATCCAGGACTACAGGGAGAGCCTGGAATACCAGCTCCGCCAGGAAGCAAAGGAGAAAGTGGACAAACAGGTGTGAGTGGAGTAATTGGCCCAAAAGGAAGTAGAGGTGATCCTGGATTATCAGGGAGACCCGGCGTTCCTGGCTACCCTGGGCCAAAAGGTCGGAAGGGTGAGCAAGGTGTCATTGGCTTTATGGGCCCAGTAGGATTTCCAGGTGATTTGGGACCTATTGGACCCAAGGGGGATAGAGGACTAACTGGCATTCAGGGGCCTCCAGGCTCCCCTGGGCTGTCCCCTCTTCCTCCAAGGCTGGTTGCTGAGCAAGGTTCACCAGGTCCCAGTGGAAATATAGGACCTCAAGGAAGCCCAGGAGATGTGGGACCTCAGGGTCCACCAGGCGATCCAGGTTTCAGAGGCGCACCTGGAGAACCAGGACTCCAGGGCAGGGGTGGCATTCCAGCTCCTCCTGGCTCCAGAGGTGAACAAGGAGCAACAGGGTTTCCCAAAAAGAACTATCAGCTAAAACAATGATAAGGGAAAATAACAAGGGAAGAGAATACGATACCACCGGCCAAGAAAGCGAGTTCCACCCGGAAGCCCCTGTCCTTCCGGGTAACTCCCAGTTACCCCTCACCCCGGGCATGACGTGCTGTGGTATGGAATACCTCCCCGGCTAGCCCGGGTCAGGCGCCCCGTCCCTGCTCCCTCACAGCTTCCCCTCCTCCCTGGCAGAGCATGAGCCTCACAGAGTCCTTGGTCAGGGTAAACATCACTTAGCAACAACCGAAAACATCGGCTTCACCAACACCGCTCTCAAGCCGGAAGCCAAAACACAGCACTGCACCAGCCAACACAAAGGAAAAACATGACTGCCACTGCCGAACCCAGGACAGACTCCCAAAACCTTTTTTGCATTATTCTCTCTGATAATGGCATAAGATGCAAGATATTCAACTGAAACCAGGACTACACTACCATAAAACTAGTTCAGAACTACAATCATGCTTTAAGCAATCTTAAAGGTACTTTAGGATAGCTCCACTATATTCCATTTGATCTATGAATAGTAATCAGGTAAGCTTTTCTTTCTTTTAAGGATTTTTTTCTCTGCTCACTTGTTTAATTAATAAAAGCAAACACAGAACATAAAAAAAAAAAAAAAACAGTATCAAAGCATAATATTATCCTTCCAATATAAAAATGCCATATTTGAAAGCTGTTGTTTATTAAAGTCAGTTGAATCTCTTAGAAGCTTACTGCCTGCCACACTTTTCTGAAAGCTGGCTGAAAGACCTGACTGTAAACCATAACAACCTCTCTCTTATTGGTAATAGTGACATCTTAGGAAATGCTTAACTGGAAGAATATTCAGTGAGTTAGAGGTGTTCAGTTAAGAAGTCATTGAGCAGAGACCCTAAACATACTGAGAAACTTGAGAACAGATCTCTCAAGTTTCCCAGATAAGTTTTCTAGCCTTTGGGAAGATAGGAACAAGCACACCTATGTGCATGTCTGTTATCTGTGCACCAAATGGTTTTGGTTTTCTGCGTTCCTTTGCTTGCTTTTATTTTGAGAAGAAGGCCAAACTAGCAAGAGATCTCAGGGGAAAGTCAGATACGTATCCAACTTTGGCTGTTTTTTTCACCTCACTAGAAATACACTTTGGCAACAGTGACAATCTTATCACTCCACTTCCAGAATGCAAAATTTGTCATAGAGAAGACGGAGATTCTTTTTCCACAGGAATGGACATTGATAGGACAAGAGGCAATAAGCGTAAGTTGATTCAGGGTAATTTCTGTTTGCAGCTAATAAAAAAATAATATTTCACCATGAGAAAAATTAAAACATTGGGATAGGTAGCCCAGAGCAGCGATTCAATGTCCCCTGCTGGAAATACTCAAGACTTGGCTAGACAGAACTCTGGATAACCTAATCTAAGATCCTACTTTCAACAACAGGTTATACTAGATGATCTTCAAAGGTCCCCTCCAGCTTAAACCTCTCTGTGAGGGAGAGAGCAACATTGCTATCATCCAGCTTAATCAAGTTCTTCATGGTGGTGGTTTTTGTTTTCATATTTCAATAGCGGCTGAACTGCCATGGCTACAAGAAACTTCAGGGGTAATCTATACCACAAATCTGTTTTAAGGCAGGATCAGTTGTACCTGTTATCATATTGATGATCAGAATCATCATGGCTTAATCTTAAAAACTGTACTTAACCAATGCCTTACAATCATTACTTCAGAGAAGCTGATTAATTCCTTGTGCCTAACTTAAAGCTTTCTTACTACTGTTTAAGCCTATTATTTCTATGCCCCAACTAAGGGCGCAATTATTTTTTTCTTAATCAGTTTTGAACATATTTTATAATATCCTCCCTTTGTCCTTTTTCAAATTAAACAACCCCTTTGTTCTGCTGTTTCTGATGGGTGCTAGATCTAGATATTTTAAATAGAAAAGCTCACGCTCTCTAGAGGGAGACAGCTATCACACAAGACTTGGTGCTTAGTGCTTTCCCGCACCCCCAGCCCTCTTCACTGAAATCATGGATAATTGATTACATAAGCATTGATGCCCTAATTTAATAATTGTTCAACACAATGATTGGATTTTTTTGTTAACTCACCCTTTCGTCTTTGATGTTAGAACATTGCAAAAGGATGTTTTCCTGTAGCAGCATTTGTTTGTTGGTTTCCTCTGCACACAGTGTAGGCAATCAAAGCCAGTTTATGAAGGTTCTAGATTCTGAAACAAATATAAACTTTATAATGAAAGGGAAACAAAGGGAAAACTTAATCACTTGAGCTTTGTTTCAAAAATGTGACCATTTAAATAACCACCACATAAATATATCTTCTTTTCCATTGTTATATTGTTTGGGATGGGAAGGGGGGGGGGGTACAAAACAAAACAAAAAAACCAAACAAACAAACAAGAGTTTGCAATCATTCATATATGTAAACATTATCTAATGTAGTGTTAGGAAGCCCAGGACAAAACTATTGCATTAATGAACTAAGGGTTGTAAATGAATTAATGTGCTGTAGAACTGAACCAGAAATCAGAGTTCAAGTGTAAATCCTTGCAGGATATTCATAGCTTTAAGGTCAATAACTATTGAAATTATTTCTAGGTATTTTAGCCTATCACTTGTCACTAACCTTGTCTAATTTTTACTGTGCTGTGCAGAAAGGTGCAGAAAGGTACAGAAAGTACGACCTAGTGTTGTGGTTTAAGCTCAGTCATAAATCATGCAGTCGCCCTCTCACTCCCCACCTTTCCTCCCATCCCTGCTCCCAGAGGGATGGGGAGGAGAATTGAAAGAATGTAACTCCCATGGATTGAGATAAAAGCAGTGCAGTAACTAAGGTATAACACAAACCACTACTGCTACCATCAATAATAATAATGATAAGGGAAATAATAAGGGAAGAGAATACAACTGATCACCAACAGAAACCTATCCCAACCCAGCAGAGAACTAGCCTTTCCGGGTAAGTGACCCCAGTTCTACATCCTGGGTATGATGTGCTATGGTATGGAATACCTCTTTGGATAGTTTGAGTGAGGTGTCCTGTCTCTGCTTCCTCCTGGCTTCTCCTCCTCCCTGGCAGAGCATGAGTCTCAGAAAGTCCTTGGTCAGACTAAACATTACTGGGCAACAACTAAAAACATCAGTGTTATCAGTGCTGTTCCCAGGCTGAAAGTCAAAACCACAGCACTGCACCAGCTCCTAAGAAGGAGAAAAATGACTGCTACTGCTGAACCCAGGATACCTAGATTGAACAGTGCAAAAAGAAAGAACACACAAGGGACACACTGGTGTTACCACCCTAATTAAAAAAATTAAACAGTTAAAAGGAAGAAACATATTTTCCTTCCATAATACAGAAATTGCTGTAGGTACACATAGTAATGTCAGCAATCACTGTCACCTCCATAGAGAAAAAAAAAATATTGGCTTACAGGGTCCAAAAAATTACAATGTTTCCCCTTACTCAAGAGCAATATAGGGACATATCTGTTCATTTTATTGACGGTCAGAAATGGAGGCAGCACAAAGCAGATATTTAAATAAGATAAAAGGTTTCAGTTAAACTGACAAGAGATAAGAAAAGCAGATAAAAATGACACTGAATATTCCTATGTGCCAGTGTAAAACAAAAAATAAACCAATCTAGCAATTCATTTTTTCTTTGGTAATCTAATAAAAACTGCTTGTATTATGTAAACAGTTCTTATTTATGGAAGATTATAAAATATTTTTAAAACGTGGCAAATAATCAAAGCTGTAGCTTGTCAATATTTCTCTTCTGCAGTGTCTTGTGCAGCACAATAATACTACTTTAAAGACTGTTCCAACAGAGAATTTTTATAAAAAGCAAAAGATCATTAGATTAGTTTCTTGGGTTCTGTTAAACTAATCCTCAGTTTGACCATTAAACATAAGCCATAACCTCCTTTTAGACTCCATGCCCCTCTCTTCTTGTTTCTTAGACCAAGATTTTAATTTATTTTCTTCCCTTAAAACCAACGTACCCGCATTGGGGAACAAAAGATTGCAAATGAGCATGAAGACATACCAGTATATTCTATATTTTACTACATAAAAAAAACCTTTAAAACAACATTTCTCAATTAAAGGTATGGGTAAGTTATATCATACATTATTTGCAATAAGATGCAGGGATAATGCTTGAAGGTATACCATATGTCCCTTTCTTGATAACAGGTCTGCATTCATAAATTTGGGAGCAGTTTTGATGATAATCACGATTCAGTGCTTATAAAGCAATATTTTCTTAGCTGCAAAAGCTTATGCTTAGCAGAAGAAATCTGAATTTTTAAGTTAAGAATCTTAGACAACCAGGTTTAATTTTAAATTCAAAGTGTCAATTTTCAGTCACTATGAACAAATTCCTTCCAAGGACACCACATCACATCTAAGCTATTTGTGTAGAATTAGAATACCAGCTGTAAGTTTAATGCCTTCCAGAGGGGAAACAGAAACTAGGGGACATGGAAAGTTCTCCAAAGGGATTATTTTCTAAGTCACTCAATCCAGTAAGAAATATAATAATCAGAATGGAAGAGTCTTGATACACTTTTGAAATCATTCAAATATCATGCCATCATTCAGCTATTCACATTACACTTCCTAGGGTATAATTTGTATAGTGGAAAAAGCACAGTGTCACATATGCAGAAGCAGAGCTAAAGAATATTCAGAGACAGAAACTGACATTTGGCTAGAAAACAAGCAGTTCTGAAACTCAATAACAACTGCCAGCAACGACTGTCAAGATTTGTAGGGAAAGATCCTTTCTGTAATTAGAAACAAATGGTCCCCATGTATTCTGTGCAAGTATCTCAGCAAAAGATGCTGACCAGAAGGAAGCTCCAAAATGCCTTTAATCAACCAGTGATGTTAGAATCATAAAATCATAGCACAGTAAGGGTTGGAAAGGACCTTAAGTTCATCCAGTTCCAACCCCTCTGCCACTGGCAGGGACACCTCACACTAA